GTAAGGTGAACAACCCAAGAAGCAGAGGTCTTAAGTTTGAATCCCAGCATGGTAAGCAAATTTTTGAAGCATAATTTAAATTGAATTAAGTAGCGTGTGAAACAATAAAGTGGAAAATTTAAGAAAAAGGAAAAGAGAAGAAATGTTTATATTTTTATAAATACAAACGTTCTGTTCATATATTCTTTCGGAATCTTTTATAAACATTCATAACTTAATATATAGAATATTCGGTAGATTATTCTATTCACATTCTGAGAATATTTAAATTAATGCCATTCGAATGTTCTACGAATACACAATGAATATATACGAATGTCCTATGGAATATTCCAAATATTCTTGAAGAATATTCTTAAAATACTCATAGGATTGTTTTGTGCTATTTAGGTAGTAATATAGGTAATTATTCAGTTTACACACATCACCTCCAATATCGGCAAAAAATACAAATCGGCAAATAAGTCGATACGTTTTTTTAAAGGCAAACAACTTTTCTGTTTGAAAAAATCGTCGCTCTCTACTGCGAAGCGAGATATTAATTGAAAAAGTTGATCACTGTTAAAGTTATGAAAACTATCACACTGACGACAAATAGTGACATGTATATGCATAGCCATATGCACATACAAACAGTGCGTGAATTAGAAATATATTTGAACATGCATGAGTAACGAAATATTATTGAAACATTAGCATTATTTAAACATTTTCAAATGAACTGGGAGTCCAGGGGGCGTAGCCCCCAGTCAAGGAAGTTCGGGAGAGGCTTCGCCCTCCGGCTTGATAAAAATAAATTTGAAAAATAAATGATTCTAAAAAATAGAAAAATGTATCTCGCATGGTGTTAAGCATATGTTGTTTTTGTATGCAATTTATACCTTGTGTAGGGGTCTTGCTAATCTTTTCAGTATTTTAGGGGAGCGGTGCACTTGGACACGGTGCATTTGGACACAGCCAATCACAGCACCGTGTGATTAGAGACATTTGTAGGGTCCTTGGAACAGCGACTTGTGATTGGACTGTGTCCAATTGCCCCGTGTCCAACTGATATACACCCCTATTTTAGTATATCCCTAACGGAACATGATATCATTCGAATATTCCATTCATATACTGTAATCGTACATAATATACTGAGAATATTTGCATAATATCTTTATAGTATATCATTTTTATATATTTACAAGATATATTTATAATATAGAAATTTATTTTCATTCTTATACTTAATGTACTGCAATTATATGTAATATACTGAGAATATTTCTCTATAATATCCTTCGGAACCAAAAACCATATGAAAATCGATATTTTTTGTCGGAATCGTAAACCGTACCGAAATTTTGTAAACCCTATAAAACCGGAAGAACCGTAAAGAACTATAATTTAAATTATACCGGTACTTTTATTGTCCAGAAAACAAAAACTGAAACAAAAACTTTTATTAAATATTTTACGGTTCCGACATAAGTTAATGGATTACGGCCATCATAAACGAACCTTAACGCCATCATACGGCTACATATATAACATCATCGGTTCCAATTCCGATCTCTTTCCGTTTATTTCATGGACGACGCAAGATGCAAGAAAACGAGCGTCATTTTTATTTAAAGTAATTTAGTTTTTTATTGAATATTATTTGAAATAACCCCAAAAGGAATCGCAAGTAATTGTAGAGAGAAACTTGAAATAAATTATATAATATTTATGAGATATATTTGACAATTTATGATAACATATCCCATACAGCACAGAAGTTTGCAGCAACATTGCTACAAC